GGCAAGACCATTGCTGGCACCTGCCGTCAGCCACCCCTTGGCTTATCCCGCGACCCCACATCCCCCACCCCCACCGTCTCCGGCAAAATTCCGACTTATTCACTTTTTTTTTCTTCCCCGTAGTCTCCCGCCATGAGCAAAGCTGCAATATGGGTGGAGGAGCACGCACAAAGGAAAAACATCACATAAAGAAGAACACATTGGCCAACGGCTGCCATTGCAGATTCTGATGAATCGTTCTATTTTGGACAACATGGTCATGCCACTAGGAGAAGAAGGAAGAGGATAAGAAAGCATTCAAACGAAGAACTGCCCAAACCAAGGCCCATGGAGGACAAAATTCCTCTACTTTCTCGCATTCGTACTTCGTGTTCGGTGAGCCTTTATAAAATTATTTTTGAGGATCATCTATCCCAGGCCCATGCTAGCCCATGGACACCGTCTACTGGCCAGAAGTAGTTGTTGGTCGCTTGGAAGGAAGGAGAGGAAGAAGGAAGAAGATGAAGTGAGGCTTACATGTAGGGTTGAGATCATTTGAGGGATTAAGTTTAGGGAAAAGATTAGGTGGAAATAAATTCAAATTTTAGAAAATTGAAGGATGGGAGAAGGACTAGAGATGCTCTTAAATACAATATGTTCTTGGTAGGTTTTTCTTTTTTGACAGAAGGACTGTAAAGGAGGCCCCTCCAGTAGAGTAATGCTAGACATACAAAGAGTTATGGGGGATTTACACGCTCGTGAGTTTTGATTGGATATTTGTGTGTGGGGGGGAGGGGGGTAGTTAGAAAGAAAGAATCCTAGTCAGCATGTAATTAAGTGTAACTCTTTATACGTTTAGCATTAGAGCATCTCCAACAGGCGCCGAACGCGCCGCGCACAAAAAACAGCTTTAGCATGCGCCCATTGTCTGGTTTGGCGCGGCGCGCAGCGCCCGCTCCAGCAGCCGCGCTAAAATGCAGCGCGCGCGCCACTCCAGCAACGCGCGCTCATTCTACAAACTAGATGTATGCATCGGAAGCATAGAAACTAGATAGATTGCATATATATTTTTAAAACAATATAAAGGTATTTTACATTGAAAACATAGATTGTATCTCTTTTGGTTCATAGGATAGGATTATCATAGGAATAGGAATCTTGTAGGAAATGAGATGACATGTATCTCAAATCCTATAAATAGGAATAGAAAACAAGATGTCATTTGGTTGACACCAAAGGAATTTTTCCATTGAGTCTAGGCTCTTTTTTATTTTCCTATGAAATGTGGAGGATAGGAACCAATCCTATGTAAGAATAGGAATCCATTCCTATGAACCAAAGGGCTCTAAAGGAAAAAAATCCTATAAGAATCCTATCCTCTAGAATTCCTATGAAATTCCTCTAAACCAAAGGAGGCCTAGATAGATTGCATAGAAAACTACTCTAAGTCGCTATCATCATTATCATCCTCGGCGATGTCGTCCGAGATATCTAGCCATATGTCCAACCAACGATCATCGTCTTTCGTGAAAAACGACCTCCCACCTGCTGCAACGAGATCGGGCTGCGCATTCGCCAATGCCTTCTGCCGACACCTGTCCAACCGCTCCTCGCGGCGCCTTCGCGTATCCTCCTCGCGACGCCTTGCCCAGTAGGCTCGTAGGCGACGTCCTCCGGGTGGCGCCGGCCCCACTCCGCCATGACCCGCTCGTCCTCCTGGGCGACGAGGAGGTGGCGCTGCCGCTCGGCGTGCTCCGTACGGTCTTGTGCCGTGTTCAGACGAGGCGGCGGGGCGACGTCGAGCGCCTGCTGGAGCGTGTACACATCTTGGAAGTTCATCTGCCCGCGCGGCCGGCCTAGGCGCCACGCCGCCGCGTCGTACGTGCAGGCGGCCTCGCGCGCAGTCCTGTAGGTGCCGAGGCCAAGCCGAAGATCGCCGGAGCGTATCTCCAAGTAGTAGCCGCCGTTAGGGCGTACGCGGACGCTGCGGTAGCCGGACGCTCCTCGGCGGCACGGCGGCGCGGCGGTGGCGGGGCGCTGGAGCGGTGGAGGCACGTCGGTGGCGGGGCGCTGGAGCGGCGCGTGGCAGACAGGGAGAGGAAGAGGAGAAGAGGAGGCGTGGAAAAGGCACGTGGCGCGCGCCGAAAGCGGTGCGCAAAAAATGGCACGCGAGCTAGCGCCTTTTCGTGCGTGCGCGCAAACGGTTCCCGCGCGTGTGAGTTTCCCGCCACCGCTGGAGCGCGGCAAAACGTCCCGCGCGCACTAAAAGCTGGGTTTACCGCGCGCGCGTCTTTTGGCGCGGCCGTTGGAGTTGCTCTTATTGTCCTACAGTATAATTGATGCAACAAATTTAAATTGTAAGTAATAGAACATGAGGGTGGGTGGGAAGGCATGAGCCCCTTTCTAACACTAGGCTATGCCTTAGTCTGCATGTACTTGATAAGAGTTATTTACCTTACGAAGTGCAACGACATCCCAAATCGATTACCCTTGGGCGCGAGCAAACTTCACCTGCAGATAGACTTGCCGAATCATGTTGAGAGTGCTAGTTCAGTTGTATGCCTGAAACTCCACATATGAAGGTGCTATTAGTGGCCCATCTTACAACATTTCCCGTTGTTTTAATCATCTGAAGCTCATGTTGAGAGTGCTAGTTCAGTTGTATGCCTTTTCCCGTTGTTTTAATCATCTGAAGCTCGACCCGGCATGCTCAACATGACCAAATGGGATGCATGGGACGCTGTTAAAGGTCCATTTTACTTTCCAAATCCTTGCAGCAGAGCGTCACCGGTCACCACGCGTCTGCTAAAATTCTTATGATGGTAGCAGACAAATCTAAGGAGGGAGCCATGAGCGGCTACATCACCATCTGGTAATGCCACGAGACAACAATAACTAAGCTCTGTCCCGAAGAACACAAGGGTTAAAAGTACTCCTGGCCCAAGACTTTGCCACCTGAGAAGAGGTTGAGGCAGAGCAGGCACGCAGCCAGCAGCACGCCCGGGATCCACCAGCTGCCGCCCTCCTCCGAAAACATGGCGCACAGCACCAGGCAGAGCAGCAGCAGCATGTAGAACCCCAGCCCGCAGCCCCAGCCCGTCCAGTCACCCCCGGCCCCGCTGAAGCCGCCGCCGCCGCCGCCGCCGCCGTAGCCGTAGCCCCGGTGAGGCGGGTAGTAGTATATCCCAGCCAGGTACACCGCCAGCAGCAGCAGGAGCGCGGCAAGAACGATGTTCTGGATCAGGAGCATGACCAGCACCAGCACCGCCGGCACCAGGACCACCTCCATCTGGTTGCTGAGGAGGACGACGGCGAGCAGCAGGAACCCGGCGGCGAGGATGAAGACCATGGCATTGTCGGCCACGGTGTCCCGCACCTCAGTCACCCGCTCATAACACTCAAGCAGGGTCTCGTTGTAGATGACCCACCCCAGGGCCAGCACCACCATGAGGGGCACCATCGGAGATGGCCCGTGGCGGGCCGCCCCCCACGATGGCGAGGTGCCCCAGTAGCTCATGGCAGCCTCTTCGTTCAGCTTGCTCCCTATGTCGCTTCTGATCTTGCAGCTAATAAGTAGTAGTGGGCTAGCCGTAGAAGATGACAATATAAATATATAATGCAGGTTTCATCAGCTTCTTCTGGTTGCAACTAATTGTAACTACCTGTGCTTGTGGATGCTGATGTCTACTGTCCTGGAGTATAGTGGAGGCAGTGAGCCTACTTTAATCTGGTAGATGAACAAATCCTGGAGAAACATGGCATATAAATAGGATGCTTAAAGGTCAGGTCATATTCATGCATTTACAACACCATTCAATAATCAGGCTAAGAATGAGAAAATCGGCCATGAGTCATCAGGCAAACTACACATGTGGAAAAGCTGATTCCTGCTAATTGAATTAAGGAAAAACATGTCTCAGCAAGTACATGTATGTATCCACAACCTAGCCTGGAAGATTGAGGTCCACAAGAGAACTCAGTAGACTATCTTGATCTTACCTTCTGTGAGTGAACCAGTCAACTTTTGGCCAATATCACCACCACCCCTGATTTCATCATGCAAAATGAGAATTTCACAAAGACCTCAGGATCAATGGAAACCCACCCCATCTTACAGGGAAATAATTTTCCTAAAATTCAGACTTGAGACTGATCTCTGAACAAACTAACTATGCACGCAAAAGGCGAGGAGAACGCCTGCTTACTATACAAAGTAAACAGAGTCTGGATTTGCCTGGATGGTTGTCTTGGTGAACCCCAGCTTCTCTGCCGGCCAGAGTTTCATCTCCAAAGAAGCTGCTTGTGTAGAGCACTTGGTCACTTGCTGCATTCCCTTCAGACTCCACACCCCACCATGATTACATCCCAAACCAACCAATTTTAATCCCGTCCCTAGCTGCAATCCTTCTGTAAGTTCAATTCAGTTTATCATTCAGCATACGAGGGAGCTGTTCCTTGTATGTTTTTTTACACTACATGCTAGTAGCATATCAGGAGCAGCTAAACCTATGCCATGATTCAGATCAGAAATTTTTCCCTAAGAAAAGGAGGCAACAACTGGCACCATATTAGGGTGGAAATTTACAAGAAAAAAAAATGAAGAAGAAGAAGAAGAGGTAAAACGGCTATGCTATGGGTGTTACAGCAACCCCTCTGAGATTTCAACTTCAGAATCAAAATGTGTTCATTATTTCCTTTTTGACAGATTTCCTTCTACTCCCTCAGTAAAGAAATATAAGTGTTTAGATCACTATTTTAGTGATCTAAACGCTCTTATATTTTTTTACAGAGGGAGTATATAACTGCAGTAATTTGGGGAATACATGCATTTTTTTTCTTGGGATTTTCTCATTAAGACTTGGACACCAAAGTGAAAAACAAATGTCAAGGGAGAAAATGGAACCAGGAGTGTCATCTGGATGATCACTAAAGCAAGCATCAATTATGGGTGCAGGAAACAGGAGCCACAAAAATACAGAAACGCAACAGCTACGTCTTGCAACTCAGAAACAGAATCACGCTACAATTGGTTAGCACCATTGGTTCATGGGGGAGCATGACTCCTGACTCGACCTCCACTCTACAACCACACAAAGCTACACAGCAGATGTCTCTTGATTCCACCAGAGAAGCTCAATGGTCATCGTAGCTCTGACACGCAGAATTCCATTGCTTCAGCTGCAAAACAAGTCCCAAGAAATCGAATCAAAACAGGAAGGGTAATAAGAAGAAAGCACGACAGAAACATAGACCTAAAGTAAGACCTTCGTGAGAACATCTCTTGTGTCATTGAAATCCTCCCCTTGCTTCAAGGGTTCGATTCGGGCCTTCATGGCATTGTTCCTTTCTTGAGTCTGCGTTATGGTGTGAGCAGAAAGCTAATCAATATTAGTTTGAGACGAAGATAAATTGCGTTGTCGGCGCTTCTTAAGGTGACCATCATGTAACACTTACAGCAGTAACAGCACCATAAATTTTGTTTTTGTTTTTTTGTGGTGGGGAGGGTAACATGTTGCAACTAAATATCATGTTGACAGCAATGGAGTGATAAGAACTCAACTGCTATTTAGTCAAAACTTAAAAAAGACAAATTCAAAACTCAACCACAGGGCATGGAGTGCTGAAGGACCATTTCAATGATAAACTTAAAGGTTGCAAATCTGCTTTTCAGATGGATAATACCTTCTCTAGTAAACCTTTTAAACGTTCAATTTCATCCTTCTTCTCCTTTGATATCCTTTCTTTGATGTCTTCAATGCTAGTCCTGTAAACGAATGAGCTGTCATCTCAAATAAACTATATTCTGTGACTTTTAACAAACAGCAACAATTCAAGAAAAGATGTGCTGAATTTCCAGAAAGAACATCATTATGCATTTATATAGGCTCATAATTGAATGAGCTTTCATTCCAAGTGAACTGTATTTGGTTAACCCTGGACAAAGGATAATTCAAGGAAAGCTGTGCTGGATTTCCAGAAAGAACATATTCATGCATTTATATAGGTTTGGTAATGAGTAGCATGCACAAGAGAACCTCCACTGCAATTGCAAATCCTACCCAGCCTATCCATACCGTATGATCAAATTTCTTAGAAGATTAAACACTATTTAGAACCCAGAAATTCCACAACAGAATCTCAAAGCCAAAGGAAAAAGTTCATACTTGTCTGAAGATAAAACATCCAGAGTTTGTTCTTCAACAAACTGATCTACCTTGTCAAGGGCAGTAGCAATCTAAAACAATTGATAGTCATGTCATTAAACATTTAAAAATGCTGCTACAAATCACAGCATTTGTCGCGGGTGTTAATAAACTTGACGCTGATTATGTTGAGCCCAAAGGTGTGCTCAAAATCTATCAGCATCGTCAGGAAGTATTGGTCAAGAAATTACTTCTATTTCGTCGCACACATTTCGGAACTCCTCCTGCAGCATGAACAAGAGGAATCACTTCAATACAATGGCATTAATACAGTGCTGGCACATGCAAGAAATAAATAAAACATCATCAGGTTCAGCAAACATAACATAAGATATATCAGCTTCGTAGTTCAGCTGCATATGCAAAAGTAAACAAATTAAGCGCCCAGTCCGCTCAAAATATTGTGGTTAGGCACATGTAAAGGGATCAAAGGAGAGCAGATACTAGCAAAATTGGCACTACTAATTATGAATTAATCCTGCACTATATAGTTATTAGCTCATCGCCTTCTTTTTAACCATTGAAATGGTGTTTGATAGCCTAGACATTGAGTATGTCTTGCCATACCCCAAGGCGCATAGTAAAGTGAAATGACACTTTTGTGAGTAATTGCACAGTTTACAAGTAATACAATTCCATGAAAAAAGGACAAGACAAGGTGCTGGGTATTTCTGTTTCTGAAGATAAGATTGTGTCACCAGCCAGTTAGCACCACACATATCTAGAAATGCACGTAATGTATGTTTTTTTCAACATATGCAGGAGTTGATCAGCCAGTTAAACTCTGCTGAAAATTAAGTATTCAGTGCAGCCTTAGATATTTGCATCATACTGGAAAGTAGAAACCAGCTTGGGCGCAATAACTGTACCACAATGTTGCCATGCAAAGACTTGATCACCTGAAATAAAATAAAAAGGAAAACAGATCAGAAGTTAAGAGCTACATTCAGACACAGATACACAATCCAAACTTTTAATGGCATATTGAGTTGCACGTAGGGCAAACATTGTGAGATTTAGCAGTAACTGTGGACTGAGGAAAGATTGGAACACTCACATAGATGAACATTTGGTACAGGCGCTCCCTTTCAGCATCAGTGAATGATGGGAAAGCATTGTTAAGATCCTAAGATGCAAGAATAACACACGAGTTAATTCATCCCAAGAGCACATAAGAGGAACTGATCTGACTCACGGCGTGGGCCTGAAGCTTTTTCACTAGGCGGGAGGGAACCAACCTCGCGGGAGAAGGCGGTGAGTATGGAGCGAGCGGCAAGCTTGAATGACTTGTGGAGCTTGCCGTACGACCCCGCAGCGGCCGCCATCGACGGTAAGTTCAGGCGAGATCGAGGCGCCGCGACTAGGTTTTCCGATTCCGGTGGAATGGTGGGCGGCTCTGCCTAGATGCCGTCGGTTGCCTGCAATAAGAGGGGATAATTGCTAGGGTTTAGGGATGGGGATGGTAGGCGGTTCTGCCCGCCAGCGTGCAGTCGCTCCGTCTCTCGCAAGTTCGCCCCTTGGCCATTTTTTTCTCAGATCGAGGGAGGCGGAGAGG